GGACTTCATCTTTTGCTCTTTCTTCTCTTTTTCGATCGTGTTGTCCTTCGGTTGGCCTTCTATGATCCATATTGACTCCAAAACACTCTTTTAGCTTTCTCCTAGCTCGGAATGACTCCTGCAAAGCAATAAACTCGTAATTAGAGCATTTTGTTGTCTTTTACAATTAAATATAGGTAAAGTGTGGCCAAATTAGAGTGCAATTTTTAGCTAACTCGCATGATTATCATCTATTATCAGTAAGAGTTTGAATCTCTGTAAACATTTTATTTTTTTGTATTTTTGTATTTTTGTATTTCGCCTTAGTTGTATTCGTTGCACGAACAAATATAGTCGATACAAGTTGTATCATTTGTATATGCCCCTGTATACAGTTGATACAAGTTGTATCCTTTATATACACCCTTGTATTTCGCCTTGGTTACAGTTGATATATATTGTATTCGTTGCATGAATGAATACAATTGTGTGAACGAATACAATTGATACATGTTGTTCGTTGCGCGAACGAATATAGATGACACAGGTTGTATTCATTGCGGGTTTGAATACAAGTAATACAAGTTATTAACAATTAAACAGTAGCTACGAATAGTAATCAGGCAAATTATAATTATTAGCCTCTAAATTATAGTGATTTATAAAAATTCCTCTTCTTTCTATAGTCCTTACGAAGGTTTCTCCTGTGTGCTGTATTTTCAAAGAGGGGCCGTTTAAGATAGACAGACAGATCTCGTAAGAGATTTGATTTAACTTTTCTGATTAGAGGAAGCATACTTAACATTAATTCCTAAAACTTAATGTGGAAATACGACAACTTTACGTGTCAATTTGACAACAATATTTTGAACAAATGGTATAAACATAACGAAAAGGAACAAACGGTATAAACGTGAATTTTAGATTAGATTATAATAAGCTACGTTCTAGTAGAGTTTATATGTTTTAATATATGAATAATATACTAACATGATTGAGTTAGTAATTGTATTTTATATCCAATTAATCTTACGAATGCATGGTTTAATTTCTAGAATTCTAGTATGAAAATATTTGCTAAAAGAATTTTTTGATGAGCTCCGACGTAAAAAAGATACCTTCAAAGTTAAGTTCAAATTATTTCAGGTGATTTAATCAACATTTTAATAATCGATAAATAACTATGATTGATTGTCGATTACTATGGAGATTTTTTTTATATTAAGATTATGAAGGAATTGTTTAAAGAGTCTATTCTCTCTCTCTTTTTGTTTTTTTTTTAATGAGTTACCAGCATAAAAATTACCCTTTAAATATGTTAAAGTTCAAATTATATCAGCTGATTATATCAATATCTTCAGTAATTCAGCTCCTTTCTCGTGAGAAGGATAGTGGGTAGGGGTATCTTTCTCCAGGATATTTTACTCATGGAAAAAATTTCAATTTCCACGTATATAAATTGAGGGGAAAAAAAGGAATTCAAAAGGAAGTGATTAATATTTCTGTTGGTATATGAGCTAGGGCAAAGATGCAATATTGAAACACCGGGTTTATTTGGATCAGTACTTTTGACGTAAAATATAAATTCATATGTAAAATATTATTTAAATTGCAATAAATAATAGGTCCGAACCCATAATTTAAAAGATGTAATAGAAGTACTAAAACCCTTAAAATTTAAACCTACAAAATTTAAATTCTGAATCCGCAGCCAGCATAGCTCGCATGTACTAAACTGAGAAAGACAACAATCGAAAGAGTACGTGGAAGTTCAAGCATGAAAGTGGAGGCACCTCGACCAAAAGCTCTTTAAATTGACATGTAATCTCTCTTTTTCAATTTATTTGGTTTAATTTAATTCGGCATTATAAGAACTTTTACATTTACAGTCTCAATTTTATCATATATTTATGTACAGAGTATTTATGGTAGTCTAAATAAACATCATAGATACGTTGTGTAACTGTAAAATCATGACGATCACTAAGGATAACATGAAAAGTTTAAAAATAAATTATTTTTCAATATATAAAGATATCACCGGGATAGACTAAAAAATTTTTTTACATAAAATAGGACAAAAATAGTATCACTTGTTCTTTTCCCACAAGCTTTGGATAAACACCTTTTACTCTTCAAAATAAGTACGTATTTTTTACCACACAAATGACATTTTTATATAATTTTGTAAATGTTTGGCCAAACGGATCCGCACATTGGAACCCAACAAAACTCATAAATTCTGTTAGCCCATTCAAATATGAGTTCAACCATACTAATTTCATCCAATTTCGATTCGGCCAGTATGGCCTTAGGAGAAAAATTAGCTAAGGCGGTTTAGGCTCAATTGAGAAAATGATATGCTCAAACAACCCAATTTTCTAAATTAATCTTAATAACGTTTAAAATCAGGATTTAACTTCAAGCTCTATAATACTACAACCAAATTTCTCATTCATCAATAGGGTGAAGATGACAAAAAAGAAAAAAAAAAAAAAAGAGAGAGAGAAAAGGAGTAACACCGTAAACGAGGACTTACATCATGGAAATATATTATAGTAGTAATTAAAAAGCAAAGATTATACTTATCTCAAGGGTTTACTTTTAAGATTTGATGATGATAAACTAACAAAAATCACTAAATTTAGGGGATTAAAATATAATTAACGAGGCACAATCAAAGAAAGTTTCCCCTTTCACTTTGTCGGCCACTTCTTATGTTCTTTGACATCCACGACTACATACGACAAACCACATCTGTCTTTGACACGTAGATTCATAATATTTTTCTTTTGAAACTACAAATAGAAATGACAAATTATTAGTTGTGGGACAACCGACAAATAAAAATAAATGTTAAATTAATAAAGAAGGTGTCATGGTTGACGAAATATGATATTAGGGTTTACTTATGAAAACATGAGTTTAGGGTCTCTATAGAACCAAGAAATGAGATAAATGTGAAAAATATATATATGATTTAAAGAGTATTTCTGAAGTACAATGTTAATTAATTGATGTACTGTTAGGTGATAAAGTTGGTAATTGTTTAATAAGATCACAATAATTAAGAGTGATAACTAATATCTCAAAATCCAAGAGAAAGCAGGTTTTAGAAAAGGAGGCTGAACTTTCTCATAAACATAAAATTTGAAAACTCAATTTCCTGTTCTTTTTATTCTTGAATTAAACAATGGCTTTAGAAAATCAATTTAAGTAATAGGTGATTTAGTATCTTGTCTCCGAAGTTTAGATAGCAATGATGGTCATTATGGACAATCGTCTTTTAAAAATTTAGGTTTTGTTATTCAGTTTGTCTTTTACTTATAGTTTAAGATAATTACACATATATACCTCTACTACAATATGTGACTTACTTCCTGAAAATAAAATTTTCGACAACAAACTCTAAAATAAGGAAGTTTACGTAATAATGAAACAACATGCATCAAACTCAAACATCTATATAAAAATTGTCATTTTTAATTTAAACATCTCTGGTTCTCACACGTTACACATTTTGTTAAGCATGAAATTGGACATGTTATCTACTTATTTTTTTCTTTAATTATCTAATTATTTCATTAAATCAAACTATTATGATTGTACGTCTTATCATTGAAGTCACATCAAATAGTAGGTGACTTTCGCATAATCAAATAATAGAGAGAAAATGAATTCTACCTAGATTTATTATATTCTCCAATCAAGCATACGAGTCATATACCTTCGTTAAATTTGCATCTAGGCCTGCTCTACACGAGGGATGTGCATAATTTGGTAAATATTGAATCACCGTATCGAAATCGAAAATTTTGGTATTTGGTATTCGATATTTTGGTATTCGGTATGGTATTTGGTTTAAATTTTAAAAAATATTGGTATTAGGTATGGTATTTGGTATTTCAAAATGAAATACCGAAATACCGATACCGTACCGAAATATATATATTATATTACACAATACACTTATTATTAATTATAACATAAATATAAAAATCTAAAATTTTATTTTTCTTTATTCTTTAAGTTCATCAATTAACTCTAAGTAAGTAACAAGACGTTTCTAATGATCAAATTGATTCTTTTATGTACAGTTTTCTCTCTCTAAGTTGATATTTGCTAGTTTTGGACAAAACTTTGGTCAACAATTGTTTTTAGTTTTGTACTTTTGAGTACTTTAATTCAGAATATTACATTCTATGACTCTATGAACTAGTTAGTAATCAAACCGAATAAACCGAAGTTACCAAACCGAATAAACCGAAACCGAAAGGAGAAAAACCGAACCATACCGAATTTAATTAGGTACGGTATTGGTATTGCATTTTAAGAAACCGAATACCGAAAATACCGAACCGAAATATCTAAATACTGTACCGTACCGACGACGAACACCCCTACTCTACACTTCAATATAAAATTTCCCGGGAAGTCCACTCGATATTTCGTTGTTAGTTTTTTTTTATTTAAAAACCCTCATTTTTGTCTTAAATTTAGAAAACCAAAACTTTAAGAGCCCGTTTGCGCATAAGAACCTTTTTCCACAAATTTTTACTTTGTCCGAAATTAGCGTTTTTTCATAAATTATTCAATTTTCACTTGAAGATGCATTTTGAAAATTTTCGAAAATTTGAAAAACTCCAAATAGTTGTTTTTCAAATTTTTCACTGAAATCACTCACAAAACTTCAAAAAATAACTCAAAATTATATTTATGTCCAAACACAACTCTAAATTTCAAATACCATTTTCACTTGAAAACTTACCCCCCCCCCCCCCCCCCCTATTTTGAAAATTTACAATTCTTTTGTCCAAACGCCCACTAAGTTATCCTTTAAAATGAACTTCACATACTATATTATTCAAAATTATTGTAATTATTTTGACATTATCCTAAAAAGTTATTTAGTCTTTTTTGGGGTCCCTTTCTATAATAAATTGATCGAATTAATAGGCGCGCATTAGACTCTAGATAAAGGTAATAATATATATATGACTTATGTAAAAGGCTTTGGAGGGTAGGTATTGCTTCCAATCGTAAAGTCAAGAATAGAAAATTGTAGTAGTATCAATTTTTGGAGTTCTACTTCTATATTTTTATTATAAAAATATAGAAGTAGAACCCTATCAAACTCTCTCCTCAATTCCACAATCAAGTTCATAAATCAGTATTCTATTATTCTACACACATTAATATAAGCACATCTCTTCCTCCTACAAACTACTTGTCAAACGTTTAGTTTTTTTTTTAAGCCATAGACACCAAAAATTAAGTTCAATGGTAACCCTCAAAAGAGATGTACATTTACACCCCAAAGGTGGTCAAGACGCTCTTTCTTCTTCTTCGTCTTCGTCTTGTCAAGATGAAAGAAACTACCACAAACAAGAAGAAGATCATCAGAATGCCACAGAAGATATCAGACTCTGTGGGAAAAGTAATGGCGATGGTGATGGTGATGACGATGAGTCGGATCATAGAAAGAATAATCAGGAGCTGAATCTTCTTGAACGTTTAAACACAAATAATAGTCCAATATGTAATGAAAATGATCCAACATCAGATGGTGCAGAGCCAAGAGTGTTCTCGTGCAACTATTGTCAAAGGAAATTTTACAGTTCACAAGCATTAGGAGGACATCAAAATGCACACAAGAGAGAAAGAACACTTGCCAAAAGAGCTGGTCAAAGACCAATTGGACATCACCTTTTCAATTTCACCCCAACAGCTGCTGCTGCTTTTGGCCATCATCCATATTTAAGAGTACAGCATCAGAATAACTATAATTATGTTAGCAGTATGTCTACTCTTCCTCTAAATGGTGCAAATTATCACAACAACTCTCTGGGAATTCAGGCACATTCAATGATCCATAAAGCAACAAATAGTAGTGGAAATTGGTCAAACAGGCAATTCATCAAACACCAACCAGGCGTAGGAAAACTGTCTATGCTTCCTAAAGGAAATATTCACTTCATTCCCCAAGAAGAGAACAAAAGTGACTTGCAAAAGAATATTGATCTTTCTCTCAAGCTCTAGTTCTTTCCTTTTGCCAAAACCCCATGTTTTTCATTTTTGTGATATTATTCAGCCAAATTCGGGGTTTTGGTTACTTTTCGCTAGCTCTTAATTTTGTATGACATTGCCCTGTACGATATATCATTTGATTTGATATCAAGAAACCCTTTTAGCTTTTGTTGATTCCGTCATTTAAACTTCTAGCTGTTTCAGCAATTTATGATGCTAAATTCAATACAAGCTACCACTTTAGATCACAAGTCTCATACAAATTACAACCTTTTGTTAGAGTTTTTTCAAATTATTTCAAGTAACACCAAATTCTTTTCTGTACATGTTTAACAGAAGGCTAATTTTGGGCCAAGTTTCTAAATTCCAAAAGTCCAATTAAAATCAAGATCTTTCGATGGGACACCGTACTTTCCCTGTCACATCAATTTTCTAAAAGGTACGGGTTCGGGTATTTGTTTAGTCATTCAGATAGTGATTGACGTTTTTTTAGCTATGCATTACACACCTCATGTGGATCTAGCTTTCAACAGCATAGAACACATTATGAGAGATGTTCCCTCGGCAAACTGGGATAAAGTTGAGCCAAAAGATCTCGATTCAAGATAAATTCATGAGGAAGTGGTATCTCTTTAGGATCTACACTTATTGTTAGGTGTTGTACTGATTTTCTTACCATATTTGATTTTTCTAGCTGTTGAAGGAAAGAGCAACATATTTCCATAATTAGAATTTTCCTTCTTGTAGAAGGAAATTATAAATCTCTCATATTTGGTTAGTTCCTTTTCTTGTAGGAAAAGGTTTGGACTTTTATAAATTGAGGATCCTTCCTTCTCATTCATTAGCATCCACAATGTAGCCATAGGGGGCTTGAGAGCTTTGTTTAGGGGGAGAACTTTATGGACAAGTGTTATTGTGTTACTTGTGTTTGCCTCTTCGTGAGGTTGTTCCCTGATATTTTGTACTCTCTTTATTATAGTGGATTGTTCATCTCCGTCGTAGACGTAGGTCAATTGACCTAACCACGTTAAATGTTTGTGTCTCTTTTGGTATATTTTTCTTTTATTGTCTGATTTATCGTTGTTGAAAGTTTGATTTGCCAGCTTCCGCATGACAACTGATTTTTCTGTCCTAACACTTATTTGAAGACATTGATTACACATGTGGATTTAGGGCGAGTTTTATGGATCGAATTAAGTTATGGTTCAAGTTATGTATCTTTGCATACAAAAGCTAAGATGTATGCGTACGATGACAATCATTAAGAATATGCTGACTTTAAATTTCGAATTCGCCTCTAGTAGGACCTCGTATAAGAGGTACGCAAATGGGACCTCGTATCAAAACAAAAATACAGTTATCGTTAATGTACCACGACAACAGTACCAGGTTTTCAGCAATCAAGAAGAATTAATCCAGAAGCTAGCACGTTGCAATCAAAGACTTTCAGTAATTACAGCAAGCTGTCGGTTGTTTCCACATATTAAACAACTCAAGATAATAATAATAGTACTATTAATAAAACCATTAATTAAGTTTAACTGGATTTCAGCATAATTAAGAAACTCAATGTGTGAACAAATTGGACAGTGTTTCAACTGTTGAAGTAGTTAAAGAAAATGACTGTTTATTTTGTCTTAGTACGCAAATATTTTATTGAATGGCACTGTCATCAGCCATTAATTAATAGAGATAATGTTTATCATCTTCAATGACTCTGTACGCTGTCACATTACATTATTTCATTGCTAGATCTTCCAAGATTTGATTCTTAAGTTATAATCTAATATGATAGTGAGTCCACTTTTGCTTAATAATTATTTATTTTAGTTTTTTATTACATTAACTGTTTCACATTTGGTAGGATGACCCAACCTGGAAGTATAGGCCTATAGGGTATCTATTTATGACTTTCACTTGACACCTTGCTTTGACCTATATGTGTGTGTCGAACATGTATTATGTTGGGCATGCGAACAAATTAAAGTTTTGCGACGGATTGAGAGTTTACATATAAGGTGTAGGATTTTTTTAATGGTGTGATGCAGTTTAGAGAAATTCGTGCAGGCTTGTCCCAAATTTCAAAACGGACAATATTACATCACGTTTAGAGTATCTTTGGGCTATTTTAGTATAACTAACTGATATCAGAACACAAGTTCGACTGAACGAATATATTAATGGCAGAGTGATGGTGTGAGACTCAATTTACTTCCCCGAAGAAGTTTGTTGCGGGCTCGGTTGCTGTAAATACTCTAATAATATGGGTCGCATACAGTAAATCTCGAAAATTGGCTCGTACATCGTGATAACGGGTCACGTGGAACTTACTTCGATGAGAGATTGTTGGGTGTGCAACCAAAATACCACATTGGTAGCTGAAAATATTGAGACTTGCGAGCATACATATTATAAGGTGTGAGAATCTTTTATTGGCGTGGATCCTTTTTAGAGAAAATCGTATAGGCTTGACCCTAAATAAACAATATCACACCATGCTAAAAATATATGTACGCCGTTTAGCCCAACATATTACACATCGATTAAGTACCTAAAAGTTGCTATATATTATTGAAAATAAGGGTGATGTGCGTTAGATACACACTTGTATCTCGAAAATAATTACTCCAACCGAATACATGTATTGAAGCAACAAGTATAAGATAATAGACAAGTATTTTTTATACTAGCTTTTTATGAAGTCTTATCTCAGTTTATTATTTAAGTATACTAAAGTATTATCTTATCACTTAATCGTACTCAAGTCCATGTGGCATAATTTGACACGATTTGCTCCTGTAGTATTTGTAGGCAAGTAAAATTTATTGAATTTAAATTCAATAAATAATTTAGACTATATTTTAAATATACTAGTCCAAATAAATATTATGGGCTAATATAATTAAATTAATTATATTAGTCCAATATATGGATTAAAAATAATAATAAGTCTTAATCCATTGGGCTAGCCCATTTAATTGGGCGCTAAAGTGATGAGCCCACTTCATTAAGCCCAAGATGTCATCTTCCTAGAGGCCCAGTTTGGTGCCACGTGTCAAATGACGTGGCGCGCCAAGTCAAGCGGAAGAGCCAATAGGATCATGCCACGTGTCAACATGACAAGGCATGCCCAGTCACACTAAAAGGCCAATAAAATCGCGCCACGTGTGCAAGTGACATGTTCTGGCCGATCAAATGCGGCCATGTCACACTTCAATCTGATTGGTCGGAAAGAGTTTGTTCTTATCATAACTCTTCCCTCCACAACTATAAATAGGGGTCTTTACTACTCAAAAAAGACACCAGAAGCTATAACAAGAAGCAAGAAAGAGCTCGTGGATCAAACGCTGCAAATTCCTCCACAAGTTTCAAGCTTCAAGCAATCAAGTTTAAGCTCAAGAACGAAGAACAAAGCAAGTTCAAGTTCAAGTAATCAAACTCAAGATCAAGAACGAAGTCAAATCAAATACAAGGCGTTCAAGATCAAGGCTACTTGTTCATGATAAAATTCGTGGCAACAATCAAAGTGTTCGCGATGGATAAATCAAATTCAAATTGAAGATCAAGCTCAAAGGCCCTTGAATTTATTTACTATTGGAAAGAAGAATCAGAGGATTCATAGAGATTGTACACTCAAATATTCGAAATAAAATACTACGATTGTTGCGATATTTTTCGGTCTTGATTTTCTTTTCTCGACACAAATTTATTGTCTACAAATTCTGGCACGCCCAGTGGGACAATCTCTATCTCTCATCTCAACTTTTCAATCACCAAAGTCCAAGAACATTGAAATGGCTTCAAAGAAAATCAACTCCGGTTCAACTTCCACCAAGGCTGCTAACTCCAGGTTCTATGCTGATGGAAAAAGCATCCCTGATGTTATCTTTGGAAGCTTCGGACCAGTTATGAGGAGCAAAGCAAGCTCTTTAGGACAACAAGCACCCCAAGTGCCGTCCGCATCAACCCATGTTTTCGGATCTTCATCCTCAAAAAGAGCAAGATCTTCCACAAACGCACCCGAACGAGGAAGCGATGTTGCTGAAAAGATCAAGAAAACTCTTGCTCTGCTTGACCTCTCTGGATCCAAGCGCTCTGTTATGAAGGAAGATGATGATGCTTCAAGTGATGGATCCTTCCCACTTACACCACATAGCGTGAACCAATCAAGGATCAATCTGTGTGAAAGTCCATGCTACTCTCTATCATCCACAACAATCATGCAAGCCATGGTGACAAACACCTCATCTGTGGAGGAGCAGTTGGCAAATTTGACGGAAGCAATCGCTGGCTTGACCAAATGCATGCAAAATCAAGAGGCTAGAATTGACAAGCTAACAGACAGGGTGGGAATCTTGATGGAAGAAGAATCCACCCATGCACTCGGCAAGCTCCCAGAAGTTCTAGAGAGTGACTCTCCCCCAAGACAAGAAACATCCACTAAGGCTATCCCTGTCTCATCTGAAGGTATGATTCCAATCGATCAACTGAAGGAGTTCATTGAAGGAACCATTAAGAGAAAATATGAAGTTGCTGCCAAATCCTCCCTTTACATATACAAAGCCGTACACTGCAAGGGTCGATATGTTGAAGATGCCTGCTGGCTATCAACCTCCAAAGTTTCAACAGTTTGATGGTAAAGGTAACCCAAAGCAACATGTGGCGCACTTCGTGGAGACGTGCAACAATGCTGGGACTTATGGAGATTACCTCGTCAAGCAATTTGTCCGCTCTCTAAAAGGAAATGCTTTTGACTGGTACACAGATCTCGAGGCTGGATCTATCTATAGCTGGGATCAACTAGAGCAAGAGTTCCTCAATCGCTTTTATAGTACGGGACGTATTGTGGGTATGATAGAACTTAAAAATACTCGTCAACGAAAGGGGGAACCAGTTATCGACTTTATCAATCGTTGGAGGAATGCAAGCCTCAACTGCAAAGACAGGCTTAGTGAAGCTGCAGGCATAAAGATGTGCATCCAAGGCATGCATTAGGGATTGCGCTACATCTTGCAAGGTATCAAGCCTGACACGTTTGAAGAACTTGCAACTCGTGCCCACGACATGGAATTGAGCATGGCCTCCGCTGGAAATGAAAGGCTGCCCATCTATGAACCTCGCAAAGGGAATGACAAGCAAGAAGTTAGGAAGTGGGGCAAGTTCGTACCCAATTC